TCGGTCCCGTACTTATTCCGAATTGTGGTCGAATTCTAGCACAGTAGATCATCTGGTATGAGACGGATTTGATATTATCTTATTGCAGTAAGTGTCGGATAACCGCAGCCGCGGGGTGACCTTGCTTCTATTTATAACTGAGAAGCATTCCTGCAGTCATAATTCCTGCTAGGATCGTGAGCGCCATGCGTGACACATGGCCAGCCTTGGATGTTAGACACCATAAAGGGAGATGCGTGATGTGAAACAGCATTTATAGAAACACATTATACGTACTAATCAGACACACTTACAATTTGAATAAGACAATATTCTGAAGGATTTATATAATACTAGCTAGAACTTTATAGGCGTTGTCCGTCCCAAATCAGTTTCCATCAGTTCTTAAAATAATATTATAGAAAAAGATGTTCCCAAATTTTCAGATAGCCATATGCTTCAATAAACAACAAAGGTAATTAACTCGCTAATCCTATCATCATCTTATCGATTTCCGATAGTATTACAAATAATGTAAAAATAAACCACAACAAAAAGTAAGCCCAAATATATACCTGCCCTTTCCAGAATAGAAAAATTAATTTATCTAACGTTTTATCGGTCATATTAATAAGTAATTTCTCAGATTAAAATCTGATCGTTAAAGCAAACAAAGAACTTTGCTATCGTTGTTATAGTCACCTATTGCTTCTACTATCTGGCTAAATGTGATTGACGATCTATATAAATTTCTTTTTAAGTAAGTAATTATAATGTGTTGAAAGCAGTACCATAAATTAATTATATTTTCTGACGCGTTCATTTAATAAATAGCGAGGTCAAATTGCTTCGTTCTTGTGTATGAAATTAAACGAATTAAGATTAATATGGAAGAACACATTTTCTCAATAACCGTTATCAAAATCGTTGTAAATGGAGGATACTATTAAACGAAGCAAACCCCAATTAGCAACAAAATATAATATTGAAGAAAAATCATTTAATTTGCTACACACATCTGCGAAAATCAAAGTTTCAAAGAACCTAGCGGGTGTAATTAACGTTATAAGTAATATTTATGGTCCATATTTATCAAAATTGTTTTTGGTACCGGAATAAAAATAAGTTTCGAAACGTTGGATGAAAAATTCCATTCGAATTTTCGTGCGAAGTATTTTCAAAGAGATGAAAGTATTTAGATGCATGACATTATCTGATTACAGATGTTTTGATAAAATATATTCTTTCATGTTTAGAACTTATATCTATGCTGGATTGACAGTGATGTATTTCGCAAGAAAATAACTATTTCAAGTAAAATAATTCGATATTTTATTTTTATCAATAAACAAGCTGAAGGGCATCAAGGGAGTTGCTAGTATTATAGCGACATTCAGATAATATTTTGAAAACAGACATGAATCAAAATAACAATATTCAAACGCATTTTTCTTTATTAATTTCTTCAATTGGTTCAATGAATACTTGGCACGTGTAAAGTCACAAACAAGTATTGTCCGCAAACCGGTGTCACTTGCTTGGCTATTGTTAAGGCATATAATAGAATGACGATGTCTCTACGTGTTAGACTCGACACCCCTCGATGCTAGTTGTACGAAGATAATTCAAGGTGTTCTACACATTAACAGGTTGCTCTGCCGTACTCTTTGTCCAAAAGTTTAAAAACACTTGAATGAGGAAGTATTTAAAAAAAAGCATTAGTTCCCGAAATCAAACTAGATGTCGCTACGGTACTTTCTTGATTTCTCTATGACAACCCTTCTCTCATGTATAAAAGTAAATTAGTTTTCAAAACTCAATAAACAACACAAATTCTATTTATACTTTTCGTATTTGTATTGATATATATCTAAGTTTCGAAATTTTCAAATTTCAGTTTTTTTAATATGTTAGTTAAAAGGAACGGAAATTACTGTCTTTGGTCCATTTGTTTCCTACAAAAATCAACTTTTGCTAGAGTCGTCATCTAGTGGAGGTGCTTTTTGGTGATTACTTTTTTTTAAAAATACTTCCTCATTGAATTTCAATTTCAAAGACATCCCGTCGATACTTATTTTATTAGGTAAATGACATTCAAAGAACTTTATTAGCCTTTCAAGTAGTAATAAGTTAATCATTCGAAATTCGTAGGCGAGTGAGCAAGTCATCGACCTTTACTAGCAACAGAACGCATCTGAAATACGTCTCAAATTTTATGGAGCGTCAAGTTGGCCGGCAATTATAAAAATTTTCAAGTTATGTATGTACCTCACGGATGGCTGCTGGCTGGGAGCTGCTAGTCAGTCACCGATGCGCTCCGATTTTTTTCACTGGAGTGCATTAAACCAATTATATATTTCACGCTTACATAAATCATTATAAATGAGCAACTTAATGTTAAAATATTATAAATCTAACTCTTAATTATCTTAAACTTACTAACAGAAAATGTTCGCATAAAACTTTGGATTATATTATGAGAGCGTTCTGAATTTGAATTAGTAAATTCCATTAGTATTTACATCAGATTAATCTGTTAAGTCGTCCAATAGACCGGTAGAGCTATAAAAATAATTTACCTACTGCATAACATGTTTTATATTTAGGTCCGAAAGGGTGGCAGCGTCGGTTCAGCTCCCCTCACTGATATCGATTTATAAACCAACACAGGGTGCCTAACTTGGGGACTACATGTCCTTAATATACGAGGTTACCATTACCTACAACTGTGTTGCACTCTTACCAAAAAGTTTGAATACATGAGATGGCTGTAAAAACTATTGAGTTGTTCAAGTTTGATAATGGAATGTTCTAAAACCTATTAAATCCACGAAAAAAAATTTGCATGTTGTCTTGACTCGCCTCATTAACAGGTTTCATGCTAATAACCAATATCCGTATTATTCAGCAACAACTACCGCGTCGCGGTAATTATGTTTTTTTTTCTAATGTGATATAATCTAAAAAAATGCGTCATTTTACTTAATTTCACAATCAAACGGTTAATTTAATAACATCAAATTTATATCATTTGTAGCAGGCAACCCTGAAAGTTTAGGCACTAGGGGTGCATTTGGTTCTCGGCCAATCGATGAACGTATTCGGGGATGTTGTTTTGTCCCTTTCTATTGGGCTGTCTGGGATTTCATGCTCCCGCTTTTATTCCGTTCTGTCTGTGCAAGCTAATTTTCAAATTAATCATGTTAATATCGTAATTATTGGCGTTTATACACGTTTTCTTATAATTTTTGCTGTGAAAACGTTTGATTGGTTCGGTACCATTGTTGAGAACATTAAGATTTGCGGAATTAAGACATATGTATATATAAAGGATTATTTTATGTCAACGAATAAATACTGAGGTATAAATAACATCGCGAATTGCGATAAAAGTATTAACATTGCACTTATCTATGTTATATTTCACGAAAGTTAAGTTTTCCGGCCGATTTATACTTTATAACCTTTATAAAACGAAGTTGAAGTTTTATTTATAAAATGCAGAAGAAGTATATATTATGTACTTCTTTTACGTGGTCGAAATGATTGTTAAAGGGCAGTATTTTATAATTACCCGACTACGGCGAAGCGAAAATGAGGGTTATGATTTTAGCCGTTATGTATGTAGAAGTTCATTTGTTTCCTAATAACTTCGAAACTACTTAAATAAAAAAATAAGTTCAAAAACTGAAACACGACTACATTATATGTATAAGTTTGAACAAGAAATTTATTTTATAGCAATGGCCAAAGGAAAGCATAGTTGTATGCCACATATAATAACAAAACAAACTGTTGTGACATACGTTGGCTGTCCTTTGGTCATCGCTATAAAATAGATTTCTTGTTTCAAACTTTTTACAGCGTGATTCAGCTGTAGTCGGGTATTAGCTTTTGATCTTATTTTTTTTCAGCTACTACGTACGAATGCTATTCTGATTATAATACAACAATATAAATAACAGTTGCGTACTAAGTACCCGTTGCGGCTATTCAATGTAAGAAATGTGTAACAAATTTGCAATAACAAATATGTATCTACAAATAGTATAATTACGGATCGAGTTTTTTCACTATCCTTGACAATATCTCATATATTTTAGGCTCTAAACAAACTGTAAACCGATCAAACTTCCATCAGTATTATAATGGTACCAGCATTATGAATTGCATCAAATATAAACATATGGAAATTACATAAAACTCGAAGTCATCGTAAGTGAATTTATTTGAGGCTTTTCCGAGATACGATTGTCTTAGTTATTGGACAAGCATAGGGGTCGATTAATTTATAATTTGAAAATAATTGCAGTAGACGACTCACGAGAAAGCGGCGAAAGTATGACGCCGCGTTTTTATCAGAACCGGTTTCAAATAAATCTTTTGTAATCAACAGTGATTTATGCGTAAGCTCAGCACATGGGTACTCGTCAATGCATTCATTTTAAAATAATATATTGACATAAATTTTATTGTTGTCAATTGTCTATAGAGGTTTTATCGAGCTTAGTATATTACCGTAGACGTTAACATCCGTTACAAAGTATTCAAGTTTGAATTTTCCTGTTGAATTACTATCATGAATTAATTAGGTACTTTACTACGTTCCCTGTCAGTATAGGTATTTTAAGTAAGATTAGATATCATAAGTATTTAAATTGTTACCGCTGAGTCTGCGAGATCAATGCTGGAAATCCAAATTACGAGGATCTAATATTTTAAATCAAATCTTAAAACAATTGTCGGACTGTCTAAAAGATGCAAGATAACAGTTTAATTACAAACATCCTGAATAAGGCGCAGTATACAAGTGTAAGTGTCTATAGAAAAAACACTAAGAAGATAGATTTGGTGATTTTGTGTTATCCATGATTGTAAGCCACTTTGGATATTAAAACCTCCTTGGATAAAAATATCTACGTAAACAATTAGATACACATAATCGGGATATAGTCTATGCATGTAGTAATCTCTTCCTTCCTAATACAAGGGGGCTTAGCGCCCGATTAAAAGTATCTTACATACTTATTCGACAAGGAGACGACCAATGGGTGCCTTACATGTGTTGTGTATTAGTCACTAATCTATTTTTAGTGCACACCAACTGATACAAATATCTGAGTTCATTAACACCGTATTGGGGACGTTATTAGGTATTCTTTAAAATATTAATATCCAAAAAGGTAACTAATATCGAATGACAGACTTTGAATTGTGAGTTAAGACATTTTAAGTTCAGCGGAACCAAATCGTGAACGCGGCCGGAGTAATTGTATTTATTAACATAATCTAGCATGTTGTTTAACGAACCATATCAAAACAGTTAATTCCGCGTTTTTTCAACCGCATCTTCACAGAAATTTTAGAAATTTCTGTGTGAAAAAATGTGATAAATGCGTTGAATAAGACAAAAGCGAAAAGTAACGGGAAACAGATCATTGTATTGAGTTTGATTCTCCCCAATTCCGCGCTCCTTGTGATTAATGCCGCTTCGTCAGCTTTGTGACTAAATTAATTCAAACGTTGTATTCAAATAAAGGGGTTGCTTTCCTTGTTCCGCACAAGGACAGCATAGTAGATAGTCAATAACAAGTGTGAGTCATAATTTATATTGAATACAGTAGGCCGTGCTTATTACTACTTATTTTAGCACCTTCTTTACATGGCAAAGTTACAAAGAAAGAAACGATACACAAAGATTATTTTAAATTAAATTCGAATAGGTATCTACACAATTAAAACTAGGTACCGTATACCGGATACCGTAACAAACAGCTGATGTAGCCTAATTTGAATTTATATACGAAGAACGATTGACAATATAATAATAATAAACTATTTATTTTGCCTTATATGGGTAACATATTTTTAATCCAAAGTCTAAAAATAAAAATGTTATTTAACTCTCTGAAAGTAACGAACACAAATAATATAGGATTATTTTTGTCCATTACTACAAATCTAATAATGAAAATATTTGCTGTTTCTACTTAATTTGCTTTGCTCAAACAATTTTGCTGTTCAATTCTAGGGCGAATATCTCATAGTAATAATGCATCATACGTGTCCCCGAGGAGAATGCACTATCAATCAATACATAAAACGGAAACAAGTACGTAACAAACGGTAGATCGAAAACATTGGTCGCGCCGCGATATCCACGAACAATACAACGCATCCAACAAAAATTCGATGACACACCGTCCATTGTATTAAGTATCAAGCAACCGCTGCCATCATGTGTTTTAAAGTATTCATTCCTTAACAAATGAGCTGTCAAAGAACATCGCGAGAGTGCAATGCAACATTTATATCCATTTACACGCACGGTTCGATCGCCGACCGGCTCCCGAGGGTGCGACACGTTTACGAAAACTGTTTGAAATATGCGTGCACCGATCTTATTTCTTTAATAGCTGGACGCGAACAAAGAGATTTTCAAAATCGTTTATTGAGAAAAAAAAATGTATACTTACAAAGTGATGTGGGTTCGTGTTTAATAAAATCGGCGATAACCGTGCACTGTGTTTCGATGTCAAAATGCGACTGAGCCGTATGGTGTGTCAGCAGCACAGCAGCGGGCGGGCGGGCGCGCGGTGCGGGCGTCTCGACGAGGGGGTGGCGGACTCACGGTCTGATACCGAAGTCGAATAATAATATTTTTGTTCAAGATCGATGGATCCACGTATGATCGTATGTTTTTACTCAATTCGGTCGGTGATTCACGGTCTTGTAGATAACGATGTATAGAAAACAAGGGCGGGGCGCAAGGAAAAAAATTGCATCTTAATACGTAACGTAAACACACGGTTATGACTTTATTGTTCAAATAGAGATGATGCCAGTGGACAATTTAGTACGCGGGGTATATTTTAGTTCTTCAAAACTCGTCAAGCTCATTGTCTTTATTGTTCTATTTACTTAAGTAGGTACATACTTTAAGGATTCAGCAATAATTCTAGAGGCTGATTTGTAAAAACATATTTTCTGTGTTTTAGCTGATAATAGTTTTAACTAAAGCTTAATATTTTTTTTTTTTAATAATGCATCCTTATATGACTGCGCGCCGTTTCATGTGCTGTGGGGCGCGAGCGCGAGTAGGGTTGCCACCTGCACCGCTATTAGGCAGATATCTTTGACTATTGCTAGGCCATGCATATTCCGCTAAATATTTTTATGTCCACTTATACGGCTTTTGCTTAAATGCCAAATGATGAAAAAATGAACGTAATTACCGACTTTTATTATTCAATTCGTCAATGAGTGTTAATAAACAACTGTAATTTGTTACAGATGATTATAAAATTAAAAACTCAAGTACAACCAACTTTATAGAAGTGATATTTGACTGTTAAAAAAGGTAACGTCCGGTTTACAGAGCAGAATGTCCGGCCTAATGTTGCGCAGAGTTAAGCTTTTTTATTTTAGAAAATGGCAACCCTAAGCGCGTGCAATACAAACGAAGGACTTTTTGGCGGGAAGTCAAATAGAGCGGCAGCTTTAAAATTTCCTGTTATAGTAAATTAATCTTTTATTGGTTTTTGTTGACTAAAAACATCGTAATATTGTTGTTTGTCGTCGAGGATGGGTTCCCACAGCGATGGGGAGGACCTAGCAGCAGAAAAAAAGAAGAGAAAGTATGGAGTTATATCCAATGACACAAGTAAGAAACAAAATGATAAATATAAAATTTACACCAAACCGAACTACAAAAGGCTTTTTTCTGAAAATAACACAGGAGAATTCACCGTGTACGTTGAGTCCACGGAACAAGAAAAAATAGGAAATAAAAATCCTATTACATTGACGAAATTATTTACTGAACATGTTAAAGGTATAACTGGCGTACACAGAGTAAACGCACACAAAATTGGAGTTTCTTTTAAAAAAGCTTCCTCGGCAAATTATTTCCTAAAAATGGAAGACTTTTTATACAAACATAAAATGAAGGCGTTCGTACCATCTTATCTCACGGAAAAAATCGGCGTACTTAAGTTTGTCCCTAAAGATATGTCGAACGAGGAGATATATAAAAACATCGTATGTGACGCAGAAGTGATCTCTATCAAACGATTTATGAAAAAATCTAACGATACCCTCACACCTCTGACCACAATTGCCGTTACATTCGCAACAACATCCTTGCCTCAGTATGCGTATATACAATTATTCAGATACCAAGTACACCAGTACGTACCTCCGGTCTTACAATGTTTCAAATGTTTGAAATTTAATCACTCTGCTAAAGTGTGTAGAAACATCCAAATGTGTTCATCGTGTGCTGGTCAACATTCTTACAAGGAGTGTGACGTCGAAGAAATTGTTTGCATTAACTGCAGTGGTAACCACTTGGCCATTTCAAGAGACTGCCCCATAAAAAAACAAAAAATTGAAGAATTAAGGAAGAAGTACAATCAGCAAAACTATGCCACTGTGGTGAGTTCTCCCCCACCCAAAAATGACCAAACATACCCACCACTTACAAATATTAACAATAATAAAGACCATTTTGATATTAATTTTATAGCTAATAATGAAATCATTATCAATGCCATTGTAAAGTCTCTTGTAGCTCTAGGCAATGACCGTGACAAAGCACCTTTGACTTCAAAGAAAATAAAGGATACATTTTTGGGTTACTTAATTTAATGGATAGTTATATACATATATGTCAGTATAATATACAAAGTTTACAGAGCAAAAAACCTTTATTACAAAAGTTACTAATTGAAAAAGATATTGATATTTGTCTCTTAAATGAAACCTGGCTTACAAATTCTTCCAATATTCCGAACTTTTCAAATTATAATTTTATTTACAAAAACTCTATAAATACACATAATGGTGTAGGTATTCTAGTTAAACATGGTTTGAAATATGATATTTTAAATACAAAGTTTCATGAAAGTATTCAGAATATAGCCATTAGCCTTAAAACACAATCAGGTGATATTTCTATTCTCTGTGTATATTGTCCACCTAATAGTAATAGATTTGAAGGTAATAAATTAAAAAACATTGTAAATAGATTGCCTAAACCTTGCATTATCATGGGTGATTTTAATGCACATCATATAGCCTTTGGTTGCCACAGTAACAATAATAGAGGCAATAGTTTGTTCAACATAATAGATGAATCTGAATTATGTATTTTAAATGATGGTACTCCAACTACATGTCCTTATCCTAATAGAAATGCTTCTGCCATAGATTTGTCACTTGTCAGCCCCTCCATAGCCCACTTATGTAATTGGCACGTCCAGGATGATCCCATGGGTAGCTATCACTATCCAATTTCCCTTCATTTAAACATCCAACCATCGCTGTTTGAATTTGGTCCTGTTGAAGAAAAATATCTCTATAGTAAAGCTGATTGGGTTAGATATTACTCACAGTCAGAGACATGTTTCTCTGAAATAGATATTGAATATGAAAATCCACTAGATATGTATAACAAATTTGTAAATATTTTAAATGACTTAAGAGAACTAACTATACCTAGGAAAAAGGGAAATGGTCAGCTTCAATTACATAAAAAACCAGTCCCTTGGTGGAATAAAAAATGTGATGATGCAATATGTAAATCAAGGCAGGCATTAAGGAATTACAAAATGAATCCATCTATTGATAACTTTATTGAATACAAAAAGGTAGATGCCCTCAAAAAACGAGTAATAAAAGAAGAAAGTAGGGAATCTTGGAAAAAACTATGCAATAGTTTTAACAGACTAACACCTATTTCTAGGATATGGCAGTATATTAAAAAGTTTAAAAGAATTGGTAGTCCTGATAATAAACATTTTGAAGATGGATGGATTCTAAGTTTTATTAACAATTTGTCTGATTCCACTGAAATCAATGAAAACAGAATTTTTAGCTTATTCCATATTGCTGAAGAAAATTCTTTAAATTCCTTTCTAAATCAACCATTTTCTTTTAATGAGTTTACTAAGTCACTACAAAGCAGGAAAGACACAACACCAGGACTTGATAATATACCATATATATTAGTTAAACATTTACATAATAATGCACAACAGATTTTATTGTATATATATAATAAATTGTGGCAATACTGTATAGTACCGGAATCTTGGAAAACTCAATGTGTCATTCCAGTTTTAAAGCCAAATAAACCACACAGTATTCCCT